TGTAAATTGAAACAACAAAGGTAAAAGATGAAGAAAGCTAAAATGTCTTTAGAATACGCATGGCCACTAAGAAATTTGTTTCCAGAACCAGACAGGATTTGGCACCTACTAGCTTGGTGCTTTGGACAAATACATTTTCTAAGCCTAAATTTTCTCACCTGTAGAATGGGAACAACAATAGTTCCTTCCTCTTGATTTGCTGTGATTATCAAATGATGGGGGAGAGGTTGTAACATGAAAAGCAGAGTAACCATCACTTAGTAAGGGCTAAATGGCTTTTGCTGTTTTGATTACACCTAGAAGCATTAATAGGAATAGTAGTTATATTTTTAATTTTTTCATTTAAATTTCAGAATATTTATAAAAGTCTCAATACTATGCTAGGTGATGACCTTCGCAAGAGCACTCAGAGGTGTGTATTATGCCCATTTGACAGAAAAGGGTACCAAGTCTCAAAAAAGTTGTTTTACCCAAGTCATGAAGCTCGGAAGTGGTAAAAACAAATTTGGAACTCAGATATGTATAATTCCAAAACTTTTTTGTTTGACTTTATTTTTTTATTCTACCTCATATTTTTTATGCATTGTAATGAATTTGTTTTGAACTACTTCTTAACCACTTTTTCATAACTATTTTATGATTGTAAAAATAAAAAATATTTGGAGATCAAAAGGGAATAAATCAAAATATTCAAATTGTCAATTTGATAAACGAATCCAGTATGAGAGCACTTTCTTTATATGATTTGGAATTATTTCTAGAAAATTCTTCATTATTTTAAATATGTAAAACAATAATCTTCAAAAGCATTGCTACTTGAATTGTGGTCCAGAGGACAGTGTCACCACTAGAAATAAATAATCTCAGCCCTGCCCCACGCACGCTGACTGAATCGGCATCTGCATTTTAATAAGATCTCTGGACGATTCATTTCATCTTAGTGTTTGTGAAGCGCTGTTTTAAGCAATGGCTCTCAGCTCTGGCTGTCCATCAGGATCACCTGGAGAATTTTATAAAACACTGATATTTGGTCCCCATCCCCAGATATTCTCTTTTAATTGGTCTATAGTGAGACATTAAGTTTTTCACAGTTTTCAGGTGATGTAAATATGCAACCGGGGGTAAAAACCATCATTCTAAATAAACAATAGAACACTCTACTCAAGACAACTAAGTCTCCCAGGCATAAACAAACAGAAGGCATGTTTCAATACGGCCCCCAGGGGCAGAGCTAGCCATTATAACTAATGACTAAGACACTCTAATAAAAAGTATACATGTCACTTTATAGAGATCTGACAAGCCTCAGTAGGCTGTATGCTGGTATCATGAAGCAACTGCCTGAAGT